CCCCCCCCCCCCACCGCAACCGGCGGGATTGCTCAGTAGGGGAGGGGCTGTCCCCATTCCTTAGTATCCTTTAAGAATATAGGGGAGTGGTGGTCTAGGAATGTATAAACAGTTTAGAGGATTAATTGAWTGCAAGAGCGCATAAATAAGTATTTATGCTCTGTTGTAGAATGAAATGTATGATCTTCTAACTTTATGGCTGTTCCGGATGACGTTATCTGATTGTAGATAACTCTGGTAATCGATGTTACATATGAATTGCCAGCTACAGTAATTCAGTTTATAAATCTTGTTAAGAGTTCTTTATATTTTCTCAAGTGCGTCTATATCGCCATGGGCGAGCGCTTTTTTGTCGTCTAACTGATTTATAATATGACCAAAAATCTACCGTGCGACCCATGGGCAAATAGTTCATAGGCATTTCATATTGACGCCATCGGGTTTGAAAATTTAGAGAAAAAAGGCGAGCGTCCGTTGAGATCAGCGTGCGCGAGCGTGCAACCCATGGGGAAATAGTTCATTGGTTTTTGGCCAATCAGAGCGCGCGTAATAATCTAGTCATATTATAAACTTATTTATGTTCTCTTGCATTAGTCCATCCTACTCCCCTACATCCTTAAAGGATACTCAGGAATGTGGAACACCCCTCCCCTAGCAATCACGCCGGTTGTGGGGGGAGGGGGGGGGGAGTAACTAATGAGGTTTAATATAACGATGCTCGGCAGAGGTGTAATTGTACTTTTTATTCGTACAGTATTATTACTAATGCTTTACAATGGATATTATTGTTTTAGACTTCAAGCGGATGATGGTAAATTTAAATCCAACTATTTTCTACCGGGATGATTCCGGCTYTCTCATTACACCACCCCAGATACATTTTCAACAGTCTTGGTCGATTCTGTTGCTTGTCTTTCTTTTCTTTTYCAGTCAATGAAGATATAAACAGTCTCGAGAAGAAATAGAAACATGGCAACGTAGCCAGAGGCTGGTGACACCTTTAATAGCGTAAAGTGGTATGAACGAGCGAGAACAGCAGAGGAAGAAGACAAGAATGCTATGACTCCGAGAATACAGCAGACGATTCTAAAAAGCGGATGAGTCAAAGTTGCCGGCAGAGTCTCAAATATATGTGTCATCTTTAGGACAATGTGTATTGTTACAAGTAKATGTGCAGCTACGCCAACGAAAACCATGAAATTGTACTCCGGGAAGAATGACAGCAATCGGCCAAAATCGCTTGCGCAAGTGAACAAGAAAGCAAGGAAGCTACTGATCCATTCCAGCACCTTTAACCAACCTTCACCAGTTGTTACAAGCCACATCCAATCGCAGCATCCACAATAAACACGATATTCTCAATCCTCTCCTTCCACGGTTACAGTAGTAGTCGTCGTATTGCGTTTGTTCTTCATCGTCAGTCTCTTCAGGAGGAATACCAAATAAGCGAGGCGATGTCAAAAACGGCGTGTTCACGTTTCAGCTTCCTTAATGAATTTGTGTCTTTTTTCTCCGCATTTTCAACTAATGAATAATGTAACGGTCGGAAACGTCACGCTGACAACGCCTGCCTGGAAAATGAACTTTTAATGGGTATTATAAAATAATTGGTATACTACGCGCGCTAGGATTGGTCGAAAACCATGTTTGATGAGAGTATCAAAACATGCTATCGTCATTCTTAATCTATCGCGCGCGCTCATTGGTCAGTTTGAATAAGACGGCACGTAGGGAGAATTTACTTAGACTTTGCTTTTTTTCGATCTTTTCGCGCGTTTGTTATTTTATAAAACAAATCCAAAACAGTTTTCTGTGTTTGATACTCTGATCAARACACTTTGGATGTTGGGAGAACACTCGAGAAGCTGGAAACCACTCCGCTACGCGTCGTGGTTTCCTACGCTCCTCTCGTGTTCTCCCAACATCCAAAGTGTTTTGATCAGAGTATCAAACACGGAAAACTGTTTTTGATCTGTTAAATAAGATATGACCCCATAAAACATGAGTAATTCGTTCGGAAAAGGAAAGAATGTAGAGCGCTTTAGTGTTGCAAAAGAAGGAACGCATTTAAATGAAACTAAATCAGACGACAACGAAATGAAATTACTCGTTTTAATGACAAATATGGACATGTCATTGCAGCCGAGAAAATAAAATATTCAGTGGCCTGCCGATCAAAGTCAGTAGCAACTGCTAGTTTGACAACCTTTTGGTATCTACACAGTCCACAGCAACTCGACCTGGAGTTTGCCGTGTGCAGGGGTTGCTGTTGAGCAAAGGGTTTGGGTATAAACCTGTAAATAAAATAAACACACGATACAGCAACATAGAGAAAAGTCGGGGGGGGGGGGGACGGAAAACCAATCGAAGACTCAGCAATTACAACCTTCATTACAACTCAGGAACCGCGCTCTTGTGTCGTTGTTGTTTCTAACTGTTTTTGTGTGTATTTGTTTATTGTCTAAAAAACATAAATATTTATCATATATGCTACTTGCTAAAAATGATAAATCGAAGAAGCGCATAAAAGATAATCTCATTTGGCTTACTGGTTTAAACTAACTTCGGTAGAGTTTGAAAAAGTAGCGCCTGTTTCAATTTGCTGGGCAGCGGTAATTCTTGAACGCCTTGCTGGAAAGATTTCCCCATCGCTTTTCGTACCTCTATAAGGCAAATGATTTCCAGCCGTAATGGAGTTTTCCCAACTGTTTCGAGAAAACGGCGAAACATGAACATTAGGCATTCTTGTGAAGTGTTTAACGGGATTACAGAATTTGACTCAAATGTGCAGTTTTTAGGCAGGAAAGCTAAGTTTGCTCCTGCAGAACACAACATTAAAGCACAACGTTTATCTTGGCTGAAACGCCACCCATAGAAAATCGGCGTCCTACCTTGTTTGTCATGAGCGTTTGGRGAAGACCCGTAGCGAAGTAATAAGGAGATAGTAGTTAGATGCAAATCAAGATGCTCAACACGTGAYATACTTCCTAAACGGGTAGCCGTAGTTAGAGGTGTCTCGCCTAATGAAGTCACAGCACTCACATCAGCCCCATGTCGGCACAGAAGAAGGACAAGCTTAGGGTCTACGCGGAATGCAGCAAGGTGAAGAGGCGTATGTCCAAACTGAAGCTGTGCGTTTACGTCTGCACCATAATCTAACAACATGCGTGCTGCTGTTGTACTTGGATACTGCACTGCATAATGTAGAGCTGTGTAACTGTATAAATCCTTGTGATTGATTAACTCTGTATTTGCTACGTATTTCAAGAGAACTTGTAAAGACTCGATGTTATCCCACAAAACAGCGAAATGAATCGGTGTCATTCCTTTGCAGCAAGTGGTCACCATGTCCTCTAAAGAACTAAGATTATCCATGGAAAGCAACTCTYGAAGTTTCACTGTGTTGTTGGTGCAGGTATTAAGGACTATTTCTATTTGGTGTTTATTAATGGTCGAATCATCTTGGCACTGTTCAAGGACGATACTCAACAGGGCAAGAACACAGCATGATGAACGATCCAAGAAATGTTTTCTTTTGGCAACAGAATGACTTTCAATCTCTTTAACAATGCAGCACAACYTTTGAAGGGTTTTGTCATCAATTTTCTCCTTGTAATTGTCCTGTTACATTCGATGYTAGTGTAAGTATGCCACGAGTTGCCAACCGAGACATGTTTATCGAAAATTAAATTCAGTCATGCTTACCTCACCAAAAATGTTTACCAGAATTTGCTTGACCCTGTGAAGCTGTCTTTCTCTCACAGAATGATAAACATCATCCCAAGTAGCTTTTTTGATCCAGGAAAGATCACTGAACCACCGTTTGACCAAAACGTCCTCGATTAAACTAACTACTGCCTCGAAACATCGATTCTGTCACGAGAAAACCACAGTTAAAATGTATAACTATTTAATTATACGGACTCGGTAATGATGAGATCAAACGTGAAAGCATACCTCTGCCATATCAGAAATATGGCTTTTTAATTGTTACCATCAAGTAAATTCAACAAAACAACTCAAACATGAACCACCGGTTCAATAAAAAGACTTTTCAACCGAAAATATTCCCCAGAAACTGCAATTTGAAAAATGCGCGTGCAACCACAGGTATCCCAACCGTAGCCACGGCATAACGTGACGCACTTGATAAAATACTTCCGCACTGCGCAGAGCAAGATTCAAATGATTGCGTAGGACTGTCTGTATTCATTCTCATTCGGGTTCACGCGGCCTGGGCCATTAATCCCGAACTCACTTCTCAGTAAACTTGACAGCTGGCTTTGAAAATATTTTTCGAGACGTTTTTGAACTGTCTTGAATTTCGTTCATTTTAAAAGAAAACAATTTAGGAATATTAAGTTATCTGTTCCAATTTCCTTCTAATAATCATGGTGATAAATTTTTCGTTTTTCGTTCTACCTTCATCCCACTAATTGCTTTTCTTTTCCTTTTCAGCGTGAAGTTTCTACAGTAAATTATATTACACGAGTTACTAGGATATGACATCTTTTCATCTAGCGGCCAAGAAACACCAAAGAAATGATCAACAAAATGTAAAGAAGAAGAAAAAAAACATCAAATGCCRTCGAATAATACTCTCACGAAATTCATCAATCTTAAGAAGAAGACTAATATGACCGAAGCTCAAGTTATTATACACTATATAGAAGGTTTGTATTACTTTATTTTACGTTATTTATGAATATCTATTGATAAATTACGATTTTTAAAGAGAAGTAATTTTGGAGTGCGTATAAGGTATTGGTCAGCGGTAATGGGTATTTTGACAGGCGTGGAGTTTAAATAGTGGCGCACGCGCTCAAACTCCTCGAATAGCGTGCACCATTCAATAAAAATAAAATAAAGACTTCAATATATATTCTCTCTAGAGCGTGTTTTTCTTCATGGTGGAGACCTAAGATGAAAGCTAGTGAGTCTACGGCTAGTCATGAGACTAGGGAAGATGAGGAGGAGACTGTTTTAAGGGATCAAATGGAGAGCAAGACAAAGCAGGAGGGTTCACAAGAAGTAGACTGTGAAAACAATTGTTTGAGTGGCATTAAATGGCCGACAGGGCAGCAAGCGAAGAACCAGGGCAAAAAACGAGGAATTATCAATGGATTTCGGAAGATTAAGACTGGAATTGTTACCCATGGTGGTAGGACTTCTAAGCTTCCAGCTCGTTTTATGGAAACGGATTCAGAGAACGAGTCTATTGGGAGTAAAAAGCGAGTTCAGTCGAGGAAGGATGAACAAGAAACATCTGGTGAAAGAAGCAGTACGTGTTCTACGAGTAAACGAAAGATTTGCAAAAATGGTCGAACTGAGCCTCTTGAAAAGAAAGCAGGCACAATAGGTAAACGAAAGAGAAAAAGTAAGTTATATTCTGAGGACGATATAGACGTTGATATGCTAGAAAACGGAGTTCTAAATGTTAATTCAAGTTATCCTTCGACGAACACTGCTACAACAGAGACGCTGTCTCGTAGCTTGAAAAGAAACTTGTGCATTTCTCATTCAGAAACAGAGAGTTCTTCAGATGAGACTCTTCATCGTAAGAGAGGAAGACCTCCAAAGACTGCTGTGAAAATACCGAATATCGCGCGTGGAAAAGCGAGTGAAAGCTTCGTTAGTATTTCGCCACATGGCGACTGTGTTGTGAGTGCCCCGAATGCATCTCTAACGTCACCTAATGTGAAACCAAAGAAGAAGAAGAGAAAATTGCTTARCGGACTTCGTTCTGCAAGCGTTTTTCAGGGTATAAGTAGTGATGATAGCAGTAGTGATTGTTCTAGTCCGAAGAAACGAGGACGACCTCCAAAAACAAAACATTCAGCTTTGTCCGCATCGGAGACGAAACTTCACGAGTTCGGTTCAAAGAATGGCGTAAGAAAACCCTGGGTGCGGCCAGTGTTGAAATCCTTACATAAACGAGCTTTATTTAGGTCCCATGAGGAGCATTTGGATAGTTTACTTGATTCTTCGGTGAAAAACATGACTAAGGTTAAAGCGAAACTTGCGAAGATGAATGGTTTTTCTGTAAGCCGTGAATGCACCAACGGAGAGCTGATCAAACGTAAACGAGGACGACCTCCAAAAATAGACTCTGACAAAAAGTCCAAGTTAGCTAGAGACGTGTTTTCTTTTACTGATGAAGAAGATTTAGATTCTAGCAGCTTCAATGGTCATCTGAAGAAACTCAAGAAGCTAAAAAAGCTTGATAAGAACAAGCTAGGGAAAAGACCTCTTGCAGCTTCAAAGGTAAACAAAACAGAAAAACTCCTTGCTAATAAGCTGAAGAAGAAAGCTATCAAAAAAGCAAAACAGACTCTTGCTGCAAGTGATAAAGAGTCCAATGTTGGTAGTGAATCGATGGACAAGAACAGTATTGAATCAATGCAATTCAGACGTCGTCAGAGGAACAAGATAGACAGGGTGTTAGGAATGAGACTAAACACTGTAGGGCAGTATGAGTATTTGGTGCAGTGGAAAGATGGTACCAGCTGTTGGACATCTTCTGACCAGGCTGCTGATTATGAATTGGACCTCAAATCATTTCTTGGACATGAATATCAAGAGTTTTGTAGCATAAACCGATTGGTATTTAAGGCATATTTCCATGACAACTTGGATAAATTGCATGTGCCAGAGTCTGAAGCTGAGGACTATCATACTTCTGATGACGAGACTGGTCATTATGTGAATGATTATGATGATGACGATGATGAAATCTTTTCAGATGCTGATGATATATTTGATAATTGTATAGAAACTGTGAAAGAAGACCCTAAACCCAAAAAGCGGGGAAGGAAAAAACAAGATAATGATAAAGAGTTTCTATGCAAAGAAGTGTCTGTGCAGAAGCTTCCAGACTGTGTTCATATTACTGTACGGCGGTCATCAGGGAAACAAATGCGGGTCAATCTCAGGATAATTGATTCATTAACTCTTGCTTTAGAGGAAGCTGCTGTTGATAAGGCTGAGACTGTTGTTATTAGTGGACTTGGAGATGATATATTTTGTGGAGTAGACTTGGATACTATTGTTACTATACCATTGGAGGGAGAAGTAAAGAATTATAGAAAAGATGTAGATAAAATAAGGTAGGTTGTCTATCAAACTTGATACTTTGTAGATTAAGTAATGATAAAAAGGTAAATTTTACACTGTGAAAAGATGAAAAAACCTTTGCCTTTTTATCATTACTGTTTCAATAGAAACACCGACACAGCTCACACTAGTTTTTAGCTAGTTATCTCTTCTTGTCACTTTGTAGATTAGATCATCATGGATATGACTCATTCTATTGAAACTATGAGTCATGAAATGTCACTTATTAATTAATGGTTAAATTGACAATGGAAATAAGCCATGTAATAACAACACATTGACAGATAAAAACCAGTTACTTCAGCTTACATATGATGTGTCCCTGGGATTGTGCCTATGGACAATGTAATTTTATGAGAAAACCCCATTGCATCCCTCATCTACTCATTGCGTTATTTTAAGTCTGTTGTTTAAAATTTCTTCTAATATGAGGTATTAGATGCACCTAGCTATAACTGGATTCGTTTTGTATCTGTATAGGTATCTAATTCAAACAATCCAGTATTTTCCTAAACCAGTGATAGCCACTATCAACAAGCCTGCAGAAGGACTAGGTGCACAGCTAGTAGCGCTGTGTGACATGGTCTGTGATAAGGTATGGCTTCCCCTTGTTTATATTATTAAAAAAAAATTATATTCTACACTCCTAATTATTATCTTAGGTAGTTCCCTCACTTGAAATTCCCTTACTATTCAAGGCCTAAAATGATGGCTGGTCATAAGACCATGTCAGGGCAGAATAATTGAAAGTTATCCAGCCAAATATTTGCCTTGCTAGTCATTTTGACCAATTACTAAGAGCTATAGTAATTGACTCTAAAATTGTATTTTGATTTTAACAGTCTGCTCTTGGAGATCCAGTGAATCTTGCTCTAGCAAAAGCAAATGGAACAATCCCTTACTGCTTTCCGAGACTGATGGGTCATGCTACTGTGAGTGAACATGTACTGATGGGAGAACCACTCTCATCACCGGTAACAGACTGGAGAGACTCTTTATCAGAAATATTCAAGACTACTAGATTTACATCTGAACTTTTAACATCTGTGGAAGCCATGACACAGCTACCACCATGTTTACAAGGTCCAACACGTCTGGGTGAAAGAATTGGCAATTGTTCATCAGAAGAAGAACAGAGACTTTCTAAGGAAGTCGACGTAGAAAAGAATAAAGTTCAAGATTCTTTGAAAGAGCTGATGGCATTTTGGGAAAATGTCACTACAAAGGTTACATAGTTTAGAGTTTTTTTGTATGTTAAATAGTTTACGCATACATAACATAATGTTGACAATGCAGTGTTGATATACTAATTTGTGATTTTCTGCATGATCTGTCAATATTCTTTTTGACCATTTCATGAATGTGTTAACATTTCATCACGCAACTAATACATTAATAATTTTGTAAATCAATATGGAATTAATTTCATCATTCATTATGGTCGGTATGCAAGTGCAAATTATCATCTCATTCCATATATTTCTTGATTTCTTTGCACTGCTATAAATGCAGGTATTTTGTCAGAGGTCTGTGCTGAGAGTTGTACAATATATAGGCAAGAGCCACAGTTTTTCTCCTGTTTATGGCATGTCTTCATCAACGTTTGCTTGAAAAACCTAAAAATTACAAATATATATACATAATCTGTTATTTATTGATAAATTTTCTCCAATGGAGGACGAAAAATAAGGAATGTATCCATACCCAATAGATAAAAAGCAATATATTTAACAAGAAGAGATATTTTTGCAGGAATCTTTTGTATCTAGTTCAGATGGTACAGTGTAACCTTGTACATAATTTAATTTGTAAACAAAATCTTGTAAAAACTAAAAATAAAGAAAGATCAATACAAACATCAACATGAATGAGTGAACTTTATTAGGATTAACTTCTTCTTAATGTTAAAATTTTAGAATAATAACACCAACAGTCCTATACCAGTACTGGGATACTTTAATGCCCTGTTTTTGGAGAAGTGTTATTCATAATATGACACAGTTATCGTAGATTGATAAGTTTTACACCGTAGTGAAAATAGGAACTGACGTTCGAGTCAATCATTGACTCCGACGAAGGACTAAAGTCCGAAATGTCAGTTCCTATTTTCAATACGGTGTAAAACTTATCAATCTACGATAACTGTTTCATTAGGAACACCGACGCAGTCCATGCTAGTGTTTACTAGCCATCATCTACATATTATTCATAATATGACCAGGTTTGAATTTATTCTGCTCCAAATGGAGTTTAACATGCAGTAACAGGGCTTTAAAGAACTACAAGGAGTAAACCAGTACAAAGTTTAAAAATACACATATTTACATGTTTTAATGCCCATTAATTGAATCATCATTTAAAACACATTAACTCTGTTCTATTGGTTGAGGATAAAATGTTAAAAAATCACTAAAGAATTCCCCTAAATTATCTCCACCACCAAATATCGCTACTTTGTCACTGTTTTCCTCTTCTTCTTTGTCGAGAATGGAGAAAGCAGTATGACCTGCCCTTGGATAGAGGTTTTCTGGAGTCTGTACAGCAGTCCAAGTAAGAGTTCCTGAAGAATACACATTCAAGAGGATACAAATTTGATTGACAATACAAATTCCTTTCACATAATGCCACCCCCCCATGTAGAATTCATTTTACGACTGACTGATGTAAGAATATCCTACAGATAGATGATTTCCAAGATGCTTGAGCACTTTCTTAAATATTGCAGGTGCAGGCGTTAAAGAGGTATTTTCTCGTAGTGTTCAGAAGAAACCTTTGGATTTACCATAGAGTTATAGGCAAAACCCTTGAAAAAATATTTGTGCAAGCTCCACTTATTCTGATTTCCGGTATGCAAAAAATTAAAACCAATCAAATTAATGGTGGATTTGTGTGTTACCAGAGCCTTCGATTTTTCATTAGAAAGCTGAGATGAAAGTCTTTGGGTACGAGAATAGCTTGTGAACTAAAAGAAACTTTTCCATAGCATATGTACGAGTAAGATCTTTTCCCAATTGACAGCGCTCATGCATCTTGGTAAAAGATCTGTTGTGACTCACCCATATCAAAGATGAAGGCATCTCCTAGTGTCTTGATGCCATTGTATCCTCCATGGATAAGCATTCTCTTTCCTGGTAGCTTGATTGCAGCATGCCAGCTGCGCTTAGAGGGAACAGTCCCTGTCGTAACAGGCTCAGTGTACTCCATGATAGCTGTTGAAGAAATAATGACACCAACTTGTAAAAATATGCTGCAATTCAAGTATGCAAGTATTCGTGTATAGACAAATAAAGCAGTTTTTTTTGTCACAGACATTTCTAGACATGCTTATTCAAGAGTTTTAAAATCTGGGTTGAGTTTGTAGCATTAGTTAGTTGAGACGGGACGAACACAGTTTGGAACCTGCTTGGAATATCCGTTAATGAACAAAATTTTCATCAATAATTGTGAGTTTATGAAATGTGTTTTTGTCACTCTGTAAAGATCTATATGTTAAGTGTATGCTACATCAAGAGTATAAGCAGATTAAAAAATCTGCTTAACTTGTTTGATATTTATTTCTGGGTTGATGGAAAGCAAGCTGACTGACAGTTGACTTGTAGTTTGGTCTGATATTTTAATGGTAAATTTAATTRATGGAAGAATTCAGCTTGAATGGAATTAATACTTACTGAGGTCAAGAAAGAAAAGATCATTGTAGCATGTTGGAGCATCCCAGCCACCAAATATCACAAGGGTGTCATCAAACATACATGCAGAATGCCTGGAAAACAAGCAATATTAGTACTGACAACTATGATGTCATTAAAGACTTCTTTACTGTAATGTTTTCCCATTTTAGACCACGTGTTATCACCTTGAGAACAAGATTCTTTGTTTTATATTTGTATTCATGTGTCTGGGTGTGCAAACCTTAAACAAAGATATGATACTCAAGGGAATGTCACATGTGGCCTGAAAGGAAAGACATTACACCAATTTAATCTAAAACCAAAGCAGAGAGAGACACTGCACAAGCTATTTGTTTGGTCCTTATTTATTTAAAAAACCTTAATTTTTTTCCAACAAAAATTAAAACATACTGTACACTGTAATCTAGCAGTATTGGTACTAACMCAGATCTTGGACAAGGTTTGGATGTGGAGCCAACTATTGGTATGTACCAGTTCTTAGTTTGCAAGTTCAACACAAACATGTCGTTACTACATCCATCAGACTGAGGGTCAGGATTAGGGTAGACACCACCAAACACCCACAGCTCTCCATGGAACAGTGTGCAGCTGTGGTAGGCTCTTGTTGGAGCTTTACCTACAGTCTGTTGAAACAAGAAGAAAGAATGAGCCTTTGCCATTTAATATTTCTAGTAGCTAAAATGAAATATTAACATAATGAGTTTTTTAAAGGAACAAATTTGGATTAACCAGTAGAAAAAGGCTTGAATCAAGGGAAACCCAACATATGCTATTCACATGATGCAGAGATTGAACCTGAGATCTCAGAGGCAAGAGGCAAGTGCTGCAAGACTAAACCACCTGTAATACTCTATAAAAAAATTAATGCATTTAACACTCCCAGGCCTTGCGACCCAATTGATGAGGCAGCCAGTAGATCGAATTAGAATTTAGAAATTGATTTTTGTGGAGGGAGGAAAAACTGGAGAACCTTCGAAGCACAGGAGAGAAACAACTCTACTCACATACGACACTGAGACCAGGGAGCTCAAACCCGGGTCACATTGGTGAGAGGCAGCACATTAGCAGCGCATGCCACCCATGCTTCCCTAAAGTACTATAACTGTTAAAATACTGTTAAAATACTACTGTTAACAACAACTCAAACCACAAACAAACCATTCACATGTACTGACCTTTAACACTGACCACTCCCAAGTCTCTGTGTTGAGTTGATGGATATCACTGTACCATCTCTTGTTTTTGGATCCCCCATAAATATAAATAGCTTTGGACTCAGCATCATAAATAACAGAATGACCCATTCGTCTGTCAGCACCTGTGCCATTGGAGGTAAATGGTTGATTCCATTCTACTTCTCCTATGAGGAAATCATAAGTGATATCCATTAGTAAGCAAGAGGAGATAAAAAAGAGCCATAGGGTAAAAATTAATCTTTCCCAAACTATAAAGTGTATGACACAATATTTCAATTTGTCAGAAAGAGCTTTTTTGTGCCTAGTTAATGTTTTTGAATTCTTTGAGTGAAAATTTAAAGAACTCCAATAAGAAAAATTTCAAGAAAAAACTTTTTAAGGAGAAAATTTTCTGTTATAAACAAGATACTCTAGTATAATAATGCTTTACTTGCATTCTATTTATGAGCTCTCTTAATCATATCTTTTGTTTTTCCCCCTTTTTCTCGCCCCTCCTCTTTTTGTATTTTACTACTCCTTTTTCAGTGCCTGACCTAAAAATGTAAATTTTCAAATTTTCAGCTAATTGCTTCAATTAGTTTATCTGTCGCAATTAGCTTGTGCTTTTAAATAGGTAAATGTCTCTAACTTTATGCATTATTGTAAATTATGGCACTAAACAAAAAGTTGAGTCGAGTAATTTCTTCCCATTTTTTTACTTTTCATTTTATTTATTCTATGCTGGATTACCTGTATCACTGGTACTGATAACCCAGAGAGCATCTTTTACCATTTGTTGTTTAGCCCCTTGTCCTCCAACCAGAACCGTCTTGTTCTCCCCAATATTGGACATACCATGACCCCAGCGACCAGAAGGACCTGTAGCATATAAAATAATCATATGTTGAACTGAAAAATGACTTGATGTATTTTCTGTATCTTGCCTTCATTGTTTCATTGTAATTCAACCAAATTTGGGATTAGGTCTATATATTGGTGTTGAAGGACTTTTCGAAGATCAACAAGACACATCATTAAAGATTGACAACATTTATTGATTCATTCATTTAGATTCTGTTCATCCAATCAAAATTATGTACTTATTGACTTGAAAAAGCATGTCTGTTATAATATATGCTTTCGTTGGAGGCAAATATGAAAAAATAATTTTATTAAGCACAACATAAAGACTATGGGATATTATATCACCCACCAATGAAATCTGCTTAATGAACCATTAATGCTTACCTCCTTCTTTGAAGGCACATGGAGAATATGGTGTACAAGGTGTTGATGGAGGTGAAGACACCTTAGGGCTGGCCAAACCCTTACTGCTTGGACTATTCTTTGTCACAGAAGGACTGGAAAACTCTGACCGGTGAAGTGATTTTCTTCTCTTCCCAGCAGGACTAGAAGAAACATGACAAAAAATATATTTGTATTTAAGACTGAATGAAACTAAAATGTTCTACAAAAATTATTTTTGTAGGAACAAAAAAAAAAAAATTATCATGCACTGAAATAATATAAGCTTCCAGGGGGATAATAGAGAAAATTATACAGTACACTATATATAGTATACTGACATTTGAGAGTGTATTGTTATGTGTACATACAGGGTTTCTGATGAGCATCTTGGAGTTCGTTTCCTTCTGTGTTCACTAAATGATGGTGGTGCAGGTGGAGTCCCTGTAACATCTGTTGGACTGTTTTCATATTCTTGACTATCGATACCCCAGAAGTCGTCAAGCCTTGTACTTTTGTTTTTTGGTGTGAGGTATTTGGATGGATTGTTTTTAGTAGTCTTAGAGGCAGTTGTCTTTGGACTGTTATGGTCATCTTTCTTGTTTGTTTGAACTGGTGAAAATGGTGTTTTCTTGGATATTTTGCTCTCTTTTTGGTCATTATTTGACTTTTGCTCAACACTTAAAACTAGTTTGGCCATTCTATCCTGTAAGAACACAAGTAAATTTACGTATAACATCAGATATGAATTAACATTCTCTRGACTATCTCCTACTATCCTCTCATGCTTTTATTCTCATTATTTACCTCTTCAAACAGCTTTAAACTTCTGTCAACAAAGGTCTTTCCCCATTCATTCTGCCAGCATAGTGCTCTGGTGTCTTTACTCAGTGTTCCAATCCTCTTGGGTTGAGATTCTGAGTCTAGTGATACTTCTACTGAGATATTACTTGAACCAATATTACTCTCCCACTCCCCCACAGCAAAAACAACTACCTGCTTTGGGAGGGGTAAGGAAAAATGGCAGAAAAAACTTTTCCTGTCTCCTTTGCTGTAAGTAAAACAAAAAGAAAACCCTTATAGGTGATTCCAAATTCTATTCGTTATTTTATGGGCTTAGAAGATGGTTGTCTCACCACCCCCCCCCTCCCCCCCAGAAATTCAAATTCTCAATGTGAGGGAGGTATGGATATTTTCTGGACATTGGACTAACTGGTCACATGACCTTCCCCACTTTCTATAATGAAATGAAGAGTTGAATGCACACTGGTAGCTAGGGGTACCCTGATACCTTAAGGGAGTAGGGTCCTGTGTTTTCAAGCACCAGCTGCAAGAGGTAGGAATATTTTATGGAACTAGCAGTACTAATACTTTTAAATATACAATAAATACTACAGTATTAATAACTTTTTCAATTATTTGCCATTGATGGAATATTTTATATATATAAAAAGACCACTTCCATAGACTTTTGAGTTCCTTTGTATCTTGTTGAAAAAAATTCAAGAAATTCTAGGATTATTTAGATCTAGAATAATATAGTAGAGACAAAAGTAGTGGGTTGTGGAGGGTGGTGTGAAGAATGTACCAGCCAAATACTTCCAAGATCAATGTACACTATAAGGTTTAATATTTCAGGGATAAATGAGTGTAAACATTGAACAGATATCAACACCTCCCATTCAAAGGATCATAACACTTGCAAGGTGACAAGCGAACTTTCGCCGATATCTTTACACAACTGACCTTTTTGAGCCGATTATCGCCGGGAATAACATGTCATCAACTTTGATGAACAATGAAGAAAGGCCAAAATAAGCGCGCGTTTTTCGAACCATCTTTCTTCCTTACCTTAACAATTTTCTTGGGTTTTCGCTCAAGTTGAGAACTGCATAAATGCGTAGATCATTGTCCTCGTTGGTACTATCGTTTTCCCGGGAATTCATGTCAAATATTTTACACGAGATCATTCAGATCAAGTATTAACCAAAGCAGAATCCTCACGAGAAATCATAAATATTATTCATGATTGAAAAAGCGCGCCTTAAAATAGAGGAGTGCATTGTGGGGCTATCATACGGGGCCTTCAGGAATACTTACTACCAAGCAGGGTAGACTGGTTTGAAGTCTTGTCCTCCTTAAAATTAGACTTTTTCTGACCATAAAATATTAATTTTATAATTCAATAAAAAATGTTCTTTCATATCATATGATATCTTTAAATTTTTCATTGAAATGGCCAAAATTGTAATTCCAAAAGGAGTTTATTTTATTTATTCCTCACTCTACCCCCCACGAGAATAAATTTGATAGCCACATTATTCTAATACCGTAGGCTTTCATGATAGGCGTCGTTCCAATATAAAGGGAAGAGGTGTTTTGAAAGTTATACAAAGTCGATCCCTTACGATTTCTCAGGCGATATCTTCTACAGCATGCCGGTTAAAGTAGTCGTCACCTACTGGTAAGGATTTCTGGTCATTATAATGAAAGATCGTGTCTAGAACCAACAACCCTTCAAAAAAAATTATGCAACCACTTCCAAGAAGATTTGCATAGATGCACTTGATAATCGTGCTCATATTTCGTTTTCTGTTTGTGTTTTTCAGTGGTGGATGAGGTTACAGGCCAAAGGTAATGGCGTTATTTATAAAATCCTTTCATTGGGAGATATAGCTGTTGGTATCTTTGATGATTTCAGAACCAGAAAATTATGTCGTAACAGCCAGAACACATGCTCAAACAAATCCTTGTAGTATGAATAATTATAAAGGGAGGAGCGAAAAATCAAAATCTGTAGAAAAAGCCGTCTTTAATAGTTAAGCGTAATACGAGAAATAGCATAGTCATTACGAAATTTTAGAGGGCTTCATTGTGATATGCTATAAACATGCAAACCCAGTGTTTGTAACAGTATTGGCTCTGTTGGCAAGTACCTCATAATAGCGAGGGCTGAAATTTATGATTGGCACCATTACCTTTCTCTGCTGGCATCCAATATAAACATCGACATGACACCAAATAACAGCTGTTGTTATGCATAGCTTTTACAGAGTATATAAGATAATATGCTAGAAGTTTTTTCCCCATTAATTCGTTTTAGGAGAGTGTAAAATCCTAACAAAAAAAATTTCTCTCACGTAGAACAATGAAGCATTCAAACTGAGTGTTATTTTACTCTCATGTAAATATGAGCACCTGTTTGTTATGTCATGTTTTTTTCTTATACAGTTCCAAAAGTTGCAACATGAGCTTGTCAGCGAGTTTGGCAACGATGTCGATGTGGTAAGCAAATATTACTGCAATGCAGCTATTAATTCAGAGCAATGATAGAAACTTTGGTTATTAAACCTCGATAATGGAGTCAAAATGTCTCCGAAACGTTGGATTTTAGCGTTAATTTTCATCATAAGTACATTTTCAAAATCTGTCTTACTTAATTATAGAATACCCCGTAAATGATATGTAGTTGTCGGAACTCTTTGAAGAATGACGCATACATACAACAATAGAAGTCATGGTCATTAAGTATGTGCATGAAATTTGCAGGGTATTCAATAAGAATACCATTAATTCTTTTTAGTTTTAATAGAATAAACCAATCAAATCTAACCTTAGTGAATTGAATAATTTAAAATAGCAATTTATATTTGAATATTATTAGAAAGGAGTTGGAACCCCTGAGATAACTGGGTACCTTGAGGTGGAAGTTAATGGAAAACTTGTTCATTCAAAGAAGGTTAGCAGAATGATGAATGTGCGTTGAGTACGATGTTTTAATCACAGCTTTTTCTGCATCTGTTCACTGGTCAAATGCCAAGCATTCAACCAAGGCTACAAGGTTCAAATTTGAATAATCCTTTGAAACTACCTAACTTTCAGCCTCTATTTTATGCTCTATTATGTGTGACCAGTGAACAGATGTATGGAAGGGGATAAATTGCCTAACAGCCTATCCCTGGCTTGTCCAGTTTGATGCAGTTGAGTGTTTTGGCATGATAGATAGATAAAGATGTTAGTTACACTTTTAGGGTCAATATCAGTGTGATAAAGCCATGAATAAAAACCATATCAGTGAAGTGATATGATATCACTTCACAGTGAACTGGAAATTGTAAATTTTGTCATTTTGTCAACCCTAAAAGCATAATAAACAAATTATTACAAGAGCTTGCAGACTCGTTCATTCTCGGTATCATAATGGAAACTCATGAAAAAAAAGGATATTAAGCTCTTAACATGTGATAATCTCTATTAATCGATAATAGTTTAAAATAATGTCAAGATCATTAAGTATATCATGCCGTTAATCATATACAAATATATTTGTTTTGTTGCAGAATGGAGATGGATACATCGATTCTGCAAAAAAGTTAGAAAAAATCATCAAGGCTGTGCAAGAGGCTCTTGGTGGTTAAACATTGCACACAAAAGAGATAAAGAATGTCTGTTCAGGTACGTTTTTCTTGAAGCTGTTTATAGACCCTTTCCAACTTGAACATCGTCTTCCTATTTCAGACCATGTGTCGTTATCTTGGGAAGAGGGCTTTTGTCTGAATCAAATCCATATTATCATATCTTGTAAAGAGTTAACTTTAAGGAATAAACTTAAAGAATTTATATGTTTAAATAAAAATTAAAAAAATAAAGAAAGAATTGATGTTCAAGAGAATGGCTTATGGTCTGGAAATGGAAAAAATTCTATTCTAAAAAGGTGTTTTTACTTTAATCATCAAATATACAGTGTTCCTTCTCATCTCAAATATTGGTCATATATTGATGCTGATGTAATGTTATTCTTGTTCTCTACAGCTTTGCATATTTTAGTCCAGATGATGTGATGTTATGATGGGATTGGCGTAAACACAAGAAGTCTTGTGCAGCCACATTCTGGATGCTTGTTCTGCATCTTCTGGAAAATAGTATTCAAATTGACAGATATCCTCCACTCTTTTTTCTTTTTTTCTAATGCCTTGATTTGGATTTTCTTTTGTTGATTTTGAATTTTTTTTGGTTTCTTTTATATTTAATTTTAGAAACTGAGTATTAACCATGTTCAGCACCACTTTATTTTGCCTTAAGCACCATCAATTTGATATGCTTGGTTAAATCTTGAAGCACCTCTTTATACCTTTTGAATGGCAGTGGATGATAAATATCATATTATATTCACAATAAATTTGAGCCAAAAATAACTGTCTAACTTTAATGATAAAAACAACATTTGGGCTTATTTTTGTTTATTGTATTCATTGGAGTTTATTGTATTTATTAGTTTGGATCAAACAGTTTACGAAAATGGATTGCATAGTATTCAGTTTCTTAATCAAAGAAAATAAAATATTGTTTTATGGCATGTAAGACAATTACATGTTGGTGCATCTTAATCCTCTGACAGTACCACAGGACCCATGGAGAGGGAGGGGTAGGTGGGGTGTATCATGTTCTAAAAAACAATATACTCTTTCTTGGTGTTGCCAAGCACCTGAGCCATGAAGACAATCAAACAATAGCCAAGAACAACGAGAAATACAAAGAACAACAACCCAGGATACAATAYATCTTGCAACAACAAGAAAGACCCACAATATAAATTTTAACATTGATGATTTAAAACCTGACAGCATCTCAACCCCTGTTACGGCTTACCTACTTGGGGCATATTAGCAATTAGCACTAGTGTAGGGAAGACCCCCCCCCTCCAAATGTTTTTTTTTTTTGGCACTAAAATTTAATTAATTTATGCAGAATTCCTGTGGGTTTTTTAAGACTGATACGTTGCCCCTGGTATGATGTGTACAGTCCTTACACAAGGTATTTCTTTTTCCTATACATTACGTTTATAAGAAAACCTATGAAGATGTGGACAGTAATTCAGTGATATTTGATTTACGAGACAACAGGCAAAATGTCTTAAACATAGCTACTTGAAGATGCCAGGAATTGTTAATCTCTGCATGATTGTTTACCTGACAATGATAACTGCATGACTGTTGAGAAATGCTTTAGCTTTACTGGGGAATCCATCTAACATCTCAGATGCTTCAAAGAAATAAACTTGGAACACCATCAGTTGTGATGGAGTTGAGTTATATTATTTGTTGAACAGGGTGATGTCTTCTCAGTGGTAATGATTTTGTTATAGTTTTTGGCCACTTTTCCCAAGACTAGTTTGTTCTGCACACGATGTGTGCTAGTTGATAGACCAGGGGCTTTTGGATTACATCCTAAGAATCTTGCAAGCATTTTCAACTATCCTGATAACCTCTGTATTGGTCTGTCCACATGGATATGAAGCTATCAGTACACTGTATGGTAGGTTACATACTATTAGACCTTTCTTATTGTGCTCTGAAGTGCAATAGACACTGAAATTGAATAAGAATTTTAACATAAGAATTTTTTTTAGACTTTCTAGATAATTTTATATATAGTTTAATGCACTTATATACATTATTTTTATATATCAAGGTAATTTCATGAGCTTTCATTGGCCAATTTGTGGTCCATAAATTATGTTACGGACCACAAACCCAATTTTTTGGTTCGCCTTGCCTCATAATGACCATCTTATTAACCCCGCTTGCACTGTCCATACATATGTTATGGAACCTCATTTCCCCCACTTTTTTATGCCTACATGCTACACACTTGGGCCACAAGGCAGTGGGAAAAACTCCGTCCATAACTTACAGCATGGACCTCGTACTCAGTTAATAAAAGCTATTTAAATGCTGCAATGTTTTAAAAATATTAATCATCTTTACCTACAAAATGTCTTGTGATAAATTGTGAAGTGATTCATCTTTCCTCGATCATCTTCCAAATCAAATCCTTTGCAGCAAAATGCAGTTTCTGGAAAATTTAACAGTTTGAAAATAGAACCACAGGGATACCAACCATGAAAAAACATCCCATATGAAGACATCAACCTCCTTCCCATTGGCATAACAGTTAAAGGGATACCAAAGTAAAGAAATAAAGAAAATTGCTAGGAAAAAAACAATTGTTACTTTACCTTGCTCACTAGTTGAAGCATTAAATATGTTAACAAACTGTTCTGTGTATTTCTGTAACATAATACAATAGATGGGCAAATAAGTACAATAAGTTCATCATGCAAACAGTGTTRTTAGTAGAAAGTAGCAAGTAAGTTACATATACGAGGCATAAAACAGCTGTTATTTACTATCCTAAAGTAAAAGTCACTTTTAATTAGATATTTATAATCATTAACGTACCCTTTCTACAGCGGAAAGCTTTCCCTGCGAGTAAACTGCTTCTCCCCTCTTTGTGATAAGCAGGAGGCCATCAACTACACCAAATTGTAGCAAATGCTCTAAAAAAAGCCAGCAAAATATATGTTATTCGCTTACCCCCAATAAGAAATACGAGAGAATTGGTTCTACACTATCTACCATTGACGAATGTTTCCCAGTTATCGACATTCTGCATCATCAAAATTATCGCTCCTGTTGGATTTCTGCACAAAATGCCAAGGAAAGTTTATAAAGTCACTCAGAAAAGGATATAAATGTAGAGGAACACAGAAAGCAATATATTGACAGGCGTTCTTCGACAATGTCCAGTCTACTAACGGTAAGCCCACCACAGGGCATCCAAAGGGAATGCTAATGGAAAATATAGGCAAAAAAAAATGAACTATGGAATGAAAAAGGGTAAGAAGATAGAGAAAACGAACGGAATAATGGGACTTCAAATAATGCAAACTGTTAATTTTTACTGTATTTTGTCATAGAGGAAGGAATGGATTGCTGCAGTGGTTTGAGGGCGGGGCCAAGAGGTCCAAATTGTAAGGGGGTACCTCCAAATGCTTTTTCCATTTCCACTTCCCAAAGTTTAAAGAAGCCCAGAAATTTTCGATAATAAGTGAAAGCTGTTGTAAAAACTGTAGTATTTTATTCCATGTATACTATATGTTTATTATGTACAAATAAAAACTTTTCGCTAGACCAATAATCAATTTACAAAAGAATTCATGACTGACAAATTATGAAATAAATAAAGTTGCTTTAGATATTTACAGTATACAATGGATTATACCAGTTATCATGCAGTATTAGGCTTGGTATAGGAGTACCTAAACTTGCACTAAGGTACTGAACTTTGCAACTATTGTGGGTAGCAGAACCACTACCACTATAATTTTGAAGTGCTTGAATACCTAAGTTGATGAAATTCAAGTCTGTTTTAAAAAGCTGGGAATGAGGTGAATGTGTAAGGAAAAATGCTTCTTTCTTGGTGTTGCAGGGCACCTGAGCCATGAAGAATAAAACGATAGCCAAAACATAAGTTTGGAGCTAAACAATGCCCTGTATTGCGAAAACCCTAACACAGAATACAATAAAGCTTGCTACACCAAGAAAGACACCAAAAAAGCACTCTCACTTGCAGACAACAGTACTTGTACATTCAATTATTTTCTTTTTTCTTTAAAATCCAATAATGGGAAACTATTTAGTTAACAAATCCAGACTGAAATACTTATCATTGATATTTACCTGTACAAATAAATATGCTCTTAAATTATTCATATCATTATATTTGTTATTTGTAATATATAGTATTTATCATAATTGGGTTAGTTTTCGGTACTGAATATAAGCTTGACAAATCCATCCACACCCTCCAGGGGTAAGGCACAAAATGGACAAATAGCTTGAAACGCATCACAACCATGGGGAATCGGAATCTGTGACCAAAACCTGAAACAACGAGTAGGATTATGTTAGTAATTCTATATCTGAAGACTAACTGAGCCAGTGTGAGCTGCAGAGCCTCTGAGCTTTGTCCCTATACTCAAAGATTCCCAGAATACTATTGATGTCATTTTAGAAAAAAAAGGAAAATAATATGAACCCTTTAGGAATACATGTAGGGGTTTTGGAATATGATTTAAAAACCATGTACTACTCTGCCAGTATTTTCTATACCCCTGTGAGAGAACCCTTGACACCAATAATGGGTGTGGTGTGGCAAAGATACATAAAAAGATACCCTTGTCTTCTCAGAACGTGTTGGGGCAATGAAAATTTCAAGTGCTGTGTGATGTTTTTTCTTTATTAAATGTTTCTGAGGAGGGGAGGGGGGGGGGAGTGGAGGATACATAGGGAATTTAGAAGAGACTGCTATTCCAAGATTACCTGACTGTGGCCTCTGAGCAAACATGTCCGCAGGGAACAAAAGCATGAGTTGGTACAACTTCTCCTTCATAGAATGCTCTTTCATTTCCAATTTGTAATGGCACATAATTGCTTGCCTGCAATCAAACGAAAGATATAATTATTATGAATCATCGAATAAATCAAACTCCCAGGATGAATCAAGACTAGTGTTTATTACCTGTCGACATATTGGACAGGTCCTGGTTTTTTCATCAATGCCGTCATTTTTTGGGCCACTCCAGTCATGAAAACCATGTACATGTCCACATTTGATGTAAACATGAGGTTGCCGACCTAATGATTGTGTAGACTACAAAGAGAAAATCAAAGAAAAATAACTCAATTGCAAAGGAATTTTGGATTATTCTAGAATTATTCTAGGTCCCGTCCATAACTGTCATCAGCAACTGGAATGTTAGTCTGTAAAGCAAGGATACCTGGGATGATGTAGGGAAAACAAGTGTCGTCAAACCAACTGGGCACTGGGGGCGGGAGGCATTCAGGTGCTGTCGCATTCCATCAATCATTTCTTCAGTCTGGAAAAAAATATATGGCGGCCATTAGAAAATATATAATTGATGCAAAAAAGAAAAGGATRAATGGAAATGTTGTAATCTATTCTTACAGGTATTGCCTTCATTCCTTCAGATGTCCTCCACATCAGAACAGCTCCGCATAAATCTATGAGGGATCCATCCATTAAAACATTGGATTCCATTGCCATCTGAAAAAAAAACAACAATTCAATCAGACTTATATTTAACCATTGTTTGAGAAAGGAAAGGATTATAAAAATTTATAAACTAAGGCTTTGTATATAGTGCTTTCTCTTGAACTTGAGCATTGTGTGCATAGAACATTTTTAATGTAGTGGTAATGCATGTGACTGAAAAGTGTCTCCAATTAGTGCAAAGTGCTAGAACGACTAGACACTTTTTCTTATTTTATTACTTATTAAAATCATTAATAATTCGTGAGGAAAACACAACAGAAATCACGAGTGTTGTAAATCTGATACAAAACTGTGTTCATTTGCATAAACTTTGAGTTGGATTTTCTTGGCCAAATTCACTTTAATTTTGAAAATTTTAGTGAAACACAAAGGAACTAACCTTTGATAAGTCATATACAGTATTCGTGTCCGTGTCGTATCAGATATACAATCACTCGGCTACGCCTCGTGGTTGTATATCTGATACAACGCGGCCACTCATACTGTATATATTACTTACTGGTTTGCCTCTTACTGCTGAGGACCGAGTTTCCCTTAAGCCATAAATATTCCCACACACAGATATCTCGCGCCAGATGCCAGCTGGACAGTTTGGTCCACCTTTGGGGTTCATGTGTAGGATGCCGTTTGTTGTTAGTCCGTCCATCATCCCAAATGCATTCTGCCATTTTGCAGCTTTTTCCTAAAAACAGATTGTCAGTTGTGAACACAAACATTAGGTTGTTTCCTCTCCCTCTCTCTCTCCTCTTTAACTAACCCTCTACGGCCAACTCACTCAGTGAGCAGGTTATTTTTCTCACATGTGAAAGCTGCGAGGAATGTAACTTATCAAGGTAGCCAAAAAATGTTTCACCTTTAAGAACAACTCAACTTACCCCCAAAAATATATTATTGGTTTTATCAAAGCCAGCAGCAAAGACTCGAGATGTATGTGGTGGATTGCGATCCACTGTGATGCGGCAAGCATATCTTGATATTGTGCTTTTCTGTATATCAGGTATAGCGTCAGGCTGCTTGGGACCAGGGATAGTGTCTAGGACTACAAAATCTATCTTACTGTCTGATGACCTACCAATCTGAAGAAAGAAAAATAGCAAGAAAATTATAAAACTACGGGCAATATTATTACTAATTCATTTTATTTCAAATTTCTTGGCTTTTCAAAACAAAGAATGGTTAATGCTAGACTTTACAAGACCACAAACATTTATATTCTAATTGTGAGCCGGCAAGAATCTTTAGTGTTCGCGGAGGCTTTTCTGTATCATACGGTAAAACAGAGACCCCTAGCCTTAGATTCAATGAAAATGTGAGATTATACTTATGCAAGACTTTTAAAATCAAATTGAATTTATCCAAGAGTTTGTCTGGGTTTTGCGACCGACCGTTTATCAACCCATTTGTCCCTCTCTGTCAATCAAAACTGCATGATCCATTAAAAACATTTTGCATCTGAAATATGAAATAGTTTATTCACATCAATACCTGAAACATATCAGAGTTTTCATCCTTACAGTACTCGACGACAACAGATTTTCCTCTTTCAAGAGTATATGAAACACTATGGGATTTGTTGGATTGCATTGCCTGCGAAGAAAATATAACGCAATGTACTTATTTTAGATCAAAATGTGGAAAAACCATTCTTGCTGGGTGGTATGTAGACCTGTTAATTAGTTTCATAAATTGTGTATCAAAATCGTGATTCAGAAGTAAAATAGCAGCGCATACTTGCGTATTGACAATTAAGTTCGTATGGCATTGTATGCAAAGTACTGTCCAGCCTTTCTCAATGACATGCTTAGCCACCTAGCTTACGACGATGCACACTCAAACTTTCAAGTTCATCCGCCATGACTGAACTGACTTGCTCTGAAACAAGATTTCTCCAGCAAAGTCTTCTAGTTCCAAACCATATCATTCGTTATGGAGAATCGATATTACCGAAGGTGACTTCAGAAGTAGAAAGAATTAATTACAGGTATTCCTTAGACATTATAAAGTGATGTACGTAGTTAAAAAGTTACAGACCTGTTGGCCTGCTGCTGAACTGGCAAGATGTTGCTTGTAAGGTTTCACTCCGGTAAAGGTTTTCTTTTTCATTAAGGTATAGCTACTCTTCTGTCGCACGTGGCGAGCATTAGGATTCTTGCCATTATAGCTGTGCAAGGAATTGATATCTAGTTTGATTAGCATGTACGAGATTAACAAAATTCCTTACGGGAAAATGATTAACAACAGCTAATATAGGTGTGCCTATTGTGCCAAGCAACAGATGCAGCAACAAACGCAAATTTATTCTACGACGTGTACGAACACTCCGAAATTGTTACATTCATGTTTACATAAACAATATTTGCTTCTGTGTGTTGGTTGTTTTTATGTTATTACTATATACAGGTTATAAATCAATTAATACGTGTATGGCCAACTAATTATCTCTTATACATATCCAATATATTACTTACCCGAGCACAACCAGCATGCCGTAAACTGTTTTAACTTTCTCCGCACCTTCCAATGGTATTGCCAATGACTCTGTTATTGACTTTGATGCTTTCAGGTCCGTATCTTGACGTAGTTTCTTGTGTTCTGGAGCACATGATGTTGGGGAATGAGAAGAACTAGCCTCTGTTCTGTTTTATGAACAACAAAACAACTAAAAGTTAATGGATTATATCCTCAGTAAGAAAAAGAAATCCCTTAGTACATTTTAATGAAGTGACGAATTTTGTTTTCTTTTTCCCTCCCGGACAGCCAAGAAAAAGATTATGGGTTTCCTGTGGTGAGTACCATGTGTAACATAAATAAATTATTAGTCTTAAATAATTCAAAACAATACGAATATTATAGTAATGATATCACTACCCTGGAATAAATACACCGTTTTCCAAACATCACACCATTGCCGCGTATATTGCTTCATACTTCAATTAAATCTGGTCTTGACACGTCTTTCATGCTTCAGTAACTTTTTTCAACACGTCCATGAGGCAAACAATCAAACGATTTTTATCGATACTTTATCTCATGTCAAATTTAAGCCTTATTATATTCCCTATTGTTGTGGTATGTAATCAGATAGACTTGAATTTTACTTATGTTGAGATAAACTTCACAATCTTGATGTACCATTGTATCGCATGTTAAAAATAGCTATATAGCTACATGTGATGCATGCCATGAAAATATAATTAAATATTACCTTATTTACCAAGAAATATTTTTATGAACACTGAAGTATATCTGAAACTTGGATAAAATGTGGTTTTACATTGAATATTGATAACTCAAGTTCTTGAGATATTTTTCAAAACAAAATTAATTTGCATAAAATAATATTTTTCAAAACCCAGTTCCAAGAATAATACAACATCCTGTCATATCTTTATACCTAAAAAAAACTCTTTTCGTTTTCCCTTTCTTTTTCGCTTGGCCTTTCTTTGTTGCAATGGCCATAACATGATGTCTAAGATTTTTGAAACATGAAGTCCATAAAAGATATTTATGGAATTACACAATGATAAGACCTGCGCTGAATCAGAACATTGTTATTAACATGATATTTGTGGTTGAATTCTTAACTAACCGATAATCGGCAGGAATGTATTGAAATGAAGTGTACCTATGGCAGTTTATCCCCTGTGAAATGCGCCCATTAATCCTGAACTAAATTTAAGTATTTCTCTGTATTTCATACAAATAAACTAAGAAAACTGCTTATTTAATTATGTACTACATGAAGTGGCTTATGATAAGTACATATATAATGGGCAAATATGAGGATTTTATTGACTTTGAAAAAATTTATTATTTCATTGGATCTGTCTGTTTCTTAGGGGTGAACCAATTGTGGAATTGAGGAAATTAATATTTTATCAGACAATCTTAATGGTTAACAGTAATCATTCTCCAATGATGTGTCACGCAACACAACAAAGACCATGCTTCATATTCTTGTAAAATGTAATACGCATTTAAAAAACAAAAATATGTCATGCGTTTATAGCTAAAACGATTAAAGAATACTAAAGTACTTATTTTATCTATAGAAAAATAATAGTGGAGTAAACCCAAGCTTATTAAAAAAGAGAGAGTATTTTCGCCATAACCTCATCCTATGAAAGACAAGGTTGAACTTGAGAAAAATACTCATTCACGCGTACGCTTGAAAAATAATGTTTAAAGTTGAATTCAAACTCTATAAAAATAAAGGCGAAGTAAAAGAGTCCAAACTAATTGATAATGTCGTTTTTTACACAACAGAGTGTGTTATCTGAGTTATAGTATTGAGTAAAAGAAGACATTTGTGGTGACTTCAATCACTAAACGATGCTCTATCTGTTGATATTTCACTTTTGTCTGCCAAAATTAACAACAAAAGAGAATATTTCTCAACCTCTACTTACCCTGGCATTGTGTTTTTGTAGAAATTAAAGACTTTTTTTACGTTTAAAGTGTAGAATATATTTTTCAGATGCAGTTATGGATTCCTAGAAATGGCAGACATGTTTATCTCCAACAGCGTACTGTGTACTAAAAGGGCAAGTTTGAACAAGTCCAAGATATCCACTAAACTACTAAGGGAGGGAGGGAGGGAGGGAGGGATGGCGGCAATTATTTTACTTCTTAAAAATATCCCCGCTCAGAATGAAAAACCGTTTTTAAGTTCGCGTCCTAGTACTCTTAAGGATTTTCGTTTGCACACAATTCATTTAATGATTATAAAGTTTGTTAAAAGGTAATGAAATTTGCATGTGCTAATAAGTTATTTTACCCCTCCCTGGAGAGGTATTTAAGTGTCAAAGCCGATCAGGTTTCCAAAAGACATATAGCAAATATTGACCAAGAATGAAAGCTTTGCCATGTTTCCATGTGGAATCATAATTAGAAAAGAAATCCTTATAATACCTGTAAATTATCCCAGTTATCAACACTTTGTTCCCCACCTCTAACTTTTCTGGCACAAGTCTGGTTGAATTATGATTTTTCAGTGGCTGATCAAGGGAAGGGGTGCAGGGGGTGTGCACCCCTCCCTGGTTCAACTCTGTGCCCCTACTTCAAAGATAACCAATGCAAAATGATGTTTTTCCCTTTGATTCTAAGGGGTGCACCCCTCCCTGGGTTAACTTTGTGCGCTGCACCCCTCCCTGAACAAATTCCTGGATCCGCCCCTGTTTTTTGTTCATAACCTCATTTTTTGTCGTTTAGATCCTTCCTTTTTTCCCATTTTTCTTCTAGGTTCCCTCCCATCTACTTTGCTGTACCACCCAGATTTTGTAACAATATAATATAGTTATACACATTATTACCAGTGTTTTGTGTGTTTTTATTAGCAGTAACATTATATACAATGATCTAAACATCAGTCTAATAACAGATAGTGCTTTGAACACTGTAGAGCTTCTATAGACCTCTTATCAAGATAGTGGTGGTACTCTTCAACCAGGGTTAAAGGTCAGGCTACATGCAGGATATCAAGGTAATCCTAATCAGCAACGTTGACAAGCTCAACTTCAAAGATCAGCTTGGAAAATGGTGGGATTCTGAAAATACAAAACAAATACATTTCTTAAATAAGATATAAATATTGAGAACTGAAGGCAAGCCATAGGGCTGTAGGCGTGAAGGCTTTGTAGGCTTATTGCCGATATTAGAGGTTCAATAAAAAAATATAATAAACAACACTTTAAATTTGGAAATCCTTCTTGACTTATCTGCACTTTTACTAAGTCATGATACATTGGTAAATCAGCTTACTTACCCATGATCAGGGAGACCCTTCCTTCCATAGGCCCACTCTGATTCAATATGCAGTTCAGCCTTCTCGCCCTTACTCATTGTCAGAAGAGCTTCGTCCCACTAAATACAATAATATCAACAGCAACTGTTATTCAAGTACAATAATGTAAAAACCCAACTGTATGGTTGGTTCGCCTTCAAGTGGCCTCATTACCACTGTTTGCATTGCTAAGCACTGATTGAGAAAACAGTTGTGACATGAAAATCAGGCAATACACTGCCGTCAACCAAATAAATCATTAGAGTACATAAGAGTACATGGGAACCATGAGTAGAGAACATGGGAAACTAATCTGTGGTGCATTTGATTGACAGTAGTGCATTGCCCGATTTCCATGTTGCAACTACTGTCTCAATCAGCATGCAGCAGTGAAGACAGTGGTAAAATCAAATTTTGTCCACATAGTATAAGCAGAGACTGTTTGTGACTTTGAAAACATCAGAAAAGCCACCTGGGTTCATTTTACTCTTTTCTAACTCTCCCTGCCTTTCCCCTTTCCACTTTACCAATATTGGATTCAACTCATTAATGACAGAACTTGCTAGCAGTACAATGTGACTGTGTTGAATAAATGATTTAGGAAAAAACTCACCCCTCTTATAACTTTTCCAGTGCCAACTGGGAAAATCAAGGGTTTGATTTCACCCTTTCTATTCTTTCTGGCAGTACCTTCAGAATAAGTACAAAAATCTCAATTACTGAACAGAGCTTTAAAGAAGAATTCTTCAAAAGGTACTTAAGCTATCATCATCTATCAATAAAACAAGCCCTTACTTGCACAATTAGTGTCAAAGATAGTGCCATTTTCTAGTTTTCCTGTGTACAGACAAGACACCTTGTCATTCTTAGATGGGTATGTCGTCTTGTCTCCTTGTTTCAGGATAATCTTTTTGTACTTGGGTTCCTGGGAAATGAATAAGTCAGACATTTCACACCACGGGAAAGGGGGGTGGGGTTCTCCAATATATGGACTATACGGGGATGATCCACTGAACAGGGTATGGCTTTTCGAGCTTCTTGTCATAAACAGGGTATGCAATTTCACTCAATTTCCAAGTTCTTCCTTAGTTTTCTGTCATATTCAGGGTTTCTACTTTCATATTGACCGAAACTGGTTATTACGGTCCTCAAAAAAAAAAAAAAAAACGTGAGCTGACATGATAATTGAAACAGGAAGCCAGTGCAATAAATTATATCTTTTGTCATAAACAGGGTCTACAAATTTGAGTTTTTTGTCATAAGCAGGATACTCCTATCAGAATCCCAGTGGAACACCCTACCCAAATTCTGGTGGAGTACCCCCCCTCCCCGGGATCCACATGTACTAACCAAAACCTCGGTTTGGATACATATCATCAGGGATGTAAGTATTTGGACTAGCTCACACTTGCCATGACATAGATTTTATTGGATGATAAGACACTAATACGAACTTCGAGTGCTTATTAAACGATAAATCATTTGATTTGATGGCACCTTGGAGTCTTTTATTATTCTTTTGTCCAATAAGGGAAAACCTTCTGGAAAGTAAAATCAGTTTTCTAAGCACTTGACTGGGACAGTTCTATTTGTGTGTTTTATTTACAAATAAACATAGCATTCAATATCAAAAAAACTAGCATCTCCACTAACCTCTTTTTCAGTATTAGCTGCTTCTTTAGCTGCTTCTTTCTTTTTCTCATCAGCTACAGCCATAGCAGCTGTCTTTTTGGCCAGTTGTTCCTCTAGTTGTTCTTCCAAGGTTGGTTCATCAGATTGCCTGAATGCTTTCTTCTCAAACATTGCATTATATGCATTGATGAGATGATCTTTCTTACTCGTCTTGGCAACATTGTTCAGCTTGCCATTCAATTTCATCTCTTTTAAGAACTGAAATTCCAACACATATGTAAAGTCTTAAAATACTCTTTCTTTAGAAATTATAGTTTGTAAAATACTAAACTGCCTGATGGAATTATAATGGAGATAGGGAGATGGGTGGAAGGGGGGGGGGGGGAGAGACCCCAGTTATATTTATGCACAACAAATTCATTCATTCATTTCTCCTGTTTAATCTTTTATTTGCTCATTAATTATTCATTCACTCTTAAACTAGCTAATTAATTTACTTTAGACTGGGTATAGCAAAAACTACAAAAACCTAAGAATAATACGATACTAAGGGTCCAAGATTCCTAAATTAGAACAAAAATAAAAACGCATATACAAGAAAAATGTATAAAAAAAAAAAAATCTGATGTAGAAAGCTAAAATCCATTCAAGTTATAAAACTTAATTATAAGATATTAAATGGCGCATAATTAAATGAGAATTATTAATTTGTACTGTATTATCATGTGTTGATGCCGGTTTTTTAATGAAATGCTTATGCAATAAAGATAATTAACGTCTTGGTTGCAGTCGACCACGTGCGCGTAGAAAAAAAAAAAAACCATTAACACTCCACAATTGCACACCCAATCATTCTCAAACTCCCTCTAAAACATACTCCAAACCTCGAAGGTTGCATTTGCTTGCAAGACGTTGATGATATCCTTCTTGGATACAGCATCAGAGTTGAGTTGTTCATTGGTGTAACTTCTCGTTGGTTCTTGAGCCGCCATCTTGATTCTTCAAACCTGACCAGGTCTACCACAGGAAACCCATTTTAAAAAATGTTTGAAGTGATAACAAATATTGCGCTCTACTTTCCCTAACTTTTCTTTCCTTTTCTATTACTTAGCACACTAATTTGGACTCAAATACAGAGTGCAAGTACAAAAAATACTAATATTGAAAGGGTATTTTCGTCTTAGACTTTTTCTAATTGGGATCCCCGTGGTATTAGAGACTGGGATCTACTTCAATAACAAAATGGCGGATGTGCATAAAAAATTAAGTCTGCCAAAAAAAGTGAAAAGAGATTGAATTTTTAACCTTTTTAATTGGTTTATGTGTGTACTGTGTGCGTTTCTATAGATGCAATCCTCTGGAGGTCCTGGAAGACTGTTTGATTTCCCAGAGATCCCAAACAAAGACGATGTTGTGGTGAGCTTTTTAGAGCTAAGTTTGTCAAGTGTCAGTAGTTTTTTAAGTATTCTTTGACTATTTCTTGTTTATCGACTATTTGTGAGCAGTGCTTCCATAAGTGTTTATAGGGCTTTATATTTTTTATGCACTTACAATCCAGAAGACCTTAGCCCTTCATCCTAAGGGAGGGTAGATTGTGAGACACTGATATTGTGTGAGATAGATAGCGAGAGAGATTGTGTGTGTTTACCAATTGCTGGTTTGCAATCATCCCCAAGGGAATGAAATAACAAAAGGCCATGTTGGATGTTATAACAATTAAAAGAGACTAATGACGGATCTTTTGTTAAATTCATCCAACATGGCAGCTGTGGAAACCATCAGTTGTGTTGTACATCAAGAGTTGTCATATTATTAGTATGCTTACTTGAACAGGATATTAATACTGTAGCTATATTTATTGAACAGGACTGGACATACTCCAAGAGAAGGGATATGCAGGTACAATACAAGATACATTAATAATTATTAATAGTAATAATAAGCTTTAGTTATTGAGAGTAAACATGAAATAAACAATCAGTTTACATCCTGATAAACTAGAAAACCTTGTCTACATTTTAGACCTTATTTCAGCAGTCATTACAGCTGGTTTTATTTAAATTAATCATTAATTAATTAATAGTAGATGATATATAATTAATAATAATATTTCTTGTGTTTTAGGAGATTGTTCCAAGAATATACCTTGGGCCATATTCAGCCGCAATGAAAAGCAAGGTGAAGATAATCAACATTAATAATCAATCAAATTCCAACATTGTTATTCTCTTAGGAATCAAACTTACAGCATACATTGTTACATATTATATTCATTTATTTATAATACACTCAACAAAATTACTCGATTCTCATTGGACAAGAGGAGTACAATTAAATCCCGAATTGTACTCTGTAGAGTCCCAATTAAATTCTTCAATTTTGTTGAGTGTATTATAAACAATTTTCTCATGCAATTCGGAATTTGTAGATACTTGTGATGGTTTGAAAGTTCTCAAATTGAACTCGTCTAAAAGGCTGGTCCAATTTTGAAATTTTTCAAAACATCACTCATACCTATAAATTCTGAATTGTACTCGAAATAAATGTGCGATTTCCCATACTAACAGGATCTTTTTTACTTTTAGTTTGACAACTTAAAAGCCCACTCCATTACGCACATTGTTTGCATAAGACAAGATATAGAAGCAAATTTTGTTAAGCCAAATTTCAAGAATGATTTCAAGTAAGTAAACAATATAAACCTGGTGCTTTAAATTGTTATGCTTGAAGTCCTAACCTATAATTTAACCCAATATTTTTTCTCATTATTTTTAGATATTTGATTTTAGATGTGGCAGATCTGCCAACAGAAAATATTATTAAACATTTCCCACAGGTAAAAGAATGAATAATTTGATCTTTTTTAAATATATTGATCCAAAATAATCATTATGATCCAAAGTAATTATTACCTAAGCTAAGGAATTAAAAAAAACAATGGACATCTATTGATTTAGGAAGTTCATAAGTGTAAATAATTGCCTCTTGTATTGTTCTATCTTCAGGTTAAAGCTTTTATTGATGAAGGTCTTTCTTCTGCAGGTAAGATTTACCAGCTTTTAGGAATCCCGTAATTTGTATATTTTCAGAGATTATCCTTATCCCTTCCATAGCAGGGGTAAAAGTCATTAGCCAAATTAGTTTTAGATCTGTTATTCCTCATTTCTGAATCAACACTACTGGTCAAGATGGCCGGCAAGCAAAATATGTGCCAGCCAAGTACTAACTCTAGCCGGATATTGTCTGATGACCAGGTGGCATGGGTGGGATACGCTGTATGGAGTATGGAGTGTGTATAGAGGATACATGGTCCCTCAGGCTTTTAGCTTTAAAGAACCACTGTGGATAAATGAAAATATTTGTATATTTATTTATTTGACCATTAGTTAATTTTAAGCACAGTTCACATTGGGACATGGACCTTCTATGGGAGGGGAAGGATTTTGAAAGTATGCACATAAGAAATCAAATATTTTGTTCTCTCATTTCGATTTATTTTTGTGTTCTCTGGTTGTAGGCAATGTTCTGCTTCATGGCAATGCAGGCATTTCACGCAGGTATGAATGAACAAGCTAATTCATCATTTTTTGTAGTTTGGTCTTCCTGTGGCTTTCAAAAACACAGGTAATCCAACTAAATAACTTTGCTCCAACATTTGGTGAACCACATGCTGATATGTGTTATTGTTTATTGTGCAGTGCAGCACTGATGATTGCATATATAATGGAAACATATGGCTTGTCATACAGGTCAGTACAAATGATTTATAGTATAAAATTTGTTATTCTCTTTGTAGCAGCTTATTGACTTCGCTACTATGTGAAGAGGACTCATTTGCTTTCCCTTTCCCTTTCCATCCCTTTCCCTTTCCATCCCTTCCCATCCCTGTCCATCCCTTTCCCATCCTCTGGACCCATCTCTCTACTCTGCAGCACTATGTATGCTACGTAATACCCATTGATCAACAAACCAATGGTTAATCAAATTTATTTTTCTTCTTCTTTTTCTGTCATTCTAATTATTGTGACACATTATTATGTAGTAGTGTAGGCAAAACTATTCAGTTATATTTTATGACTTTGTATTCTATTTCACAAAATAAATAAACTGAAAACTAACCAATAATAGAACTAATATAGAGGTTTTGCACCATCACGTGACGGCAGCCATGTTAGATAGCAAGAGCAATACAATCATTTTACCTGGGAAAGAATGTGTAATTCCAGTTTAATTTGAAATTTCTGAGGGATGGGGAGTCAGAGAAAGAACAAAAATTACAGAGTTTGTATGGAAGAAAATTGGAATTTCCGGGAGTAGCAGGGGGGGGGCTATTAAAAATAATTTATCTGTGAGGCGGGTATGGAAAATTTCTGGAACCTACACAATTCAATTCCTTAGAGCAAAGRGATTTTGTTGTTCCACCATCTAATCACAGGCAGTCCAAGCTGGATTATGGGCACTGGCAAGGGATGATACAAAGCCTGTACAGGACTAAAGAATTTTCAACATGATTCTATATTATCACAAGAGTAAATTCTGTTGTATTTTACATTTAATACAGGGATGCTTTCCAACATGTACAGCAGAAGCGATTTTGTATCAATCCTAATGAAGGATTTGCACACCAGTTGATGGTAGGTAATTAACATAAGAGTAAATGTGTTTTTACTTGGCTACTGAATTGGAATCTTAATTAAGAGATTATCGAGTCATCTCATTTATCTTTTGTAATTTGTCTTTTTTTTCCAAAGGAATATGAACCAATTTACCTTGCAAACTACCAGGCTAGACAACAGCAAATAGACTGTCAGGCAATAGACAGAAGAAATGGTGAGAAATATTTACAAATTATTTAAGCTTTCCTGGGGTGTTCCACACAGGATGTTCTAGGACCACTGAAAATAACCTTGTATGTGTGGTTGCTTTGTTTCTTGGCCAGGAGATGAGGAAATTGTTTAGAAGCAAGAAATAGAGAAAGTGTGAAGTAATGTTTTAAAGTTATGCCTGCTCTTTGCTCAGCAGGAATCAAAAGACCATTTGAAGATGAAATTGATGGAGATGACGGCATGGATTAATATTATCATAATGGTAGGATCCTGTTCTTATAATTATATCCTTGAAGACTCTATCACTATAGGCATAACAGCTAGACATCCATAAACATATTATTCATTCCCTTGTGTATTATTCCTTTCTTTACCAAAAAGACTTGAAAACATGTCCGGATCATAGGTTTTGTTAAAGAGTATATATAGCCCTTCAAGATACCAATATCATTTTTATCTTTACAGACTGTGAGATATATATACGCAGCGTGTTCCTAAAAATAGCTCAAGCAATGAAATTGATCTTTAGGACTGAAGATAAGTAGGAGTACTCAATATTTATTTTTCAATTCTAAAGATTTTTCCACTACAGATTTTTATTAGTAGAACGATTGTATATTAAACGAGATGTTAAAATGTGTAAAACACAAGACTTTTCCTCAAATCTATTTCAGGGATACTCTGCGAGCACAGTTTCTCCTCTTTCTCTCCCTTCATTAGGAGAAGATCGGCGAGGAGGGAGACTCTGCCAATGTAGGACGTTTCTTTTGGTCGAATTTTTTTTTAATGGGGAATGATCAAAACCAGCTTTTAAGCCATATTTTGAACATGTAATGAGCATGATGAAATATAATTTGATGTGCACAGCGGCTGTCAAAATGATGTGTGACAGATATAATATCCTGCATTGGCAGAGTCTGTTTTACCCCTCTATTAAAACCAAAGGAAAAATGGGCTCTGCTTGCAGTGAATTTCAGAAATAGTTTATTATATGGAATGTGAGAAAATAATTTTTGTTTGGTTTTGAAGTTTTTTGTACATTTTGTTTGTAAAGTTATTCCATAGGGTTTCGTGCTTTTGGTAAATATTTCTAGTTTCCTATGAAGCCGCTTCTAGTGTCTTCATGCAATGCTTACTCCCCTAAGTACCACTACGTCACTTATAGTGGGTGCGTAGACGACTAGGTAAATCCATAATGTAAATTGTATCAGATTTATTGATAGATGTTTGTATTTCCTTTAGATGTTTCTACAATCTACGAGTTTTTTGAACTGCTTAAAACACTCATGAACAATTTATAAGATTTAGGTTCAGCTGGAGCCACCATACACGTCACGAACATGGATTTTTATACTTCGATAGAGATTTGACGTCACGGGCATGCGCAACCAGATTCAATAGAAGCTCCCACACGTTGGATATTGCGTGCCAAGGCAAAGACAGGCACGTTAGTCAAAGATCGTTAGGGTTTACTATGACCTTGATGAAGCTCTATGTCTTCATCTAAACTTGGATGCATACTTCATCCCTGATGAAGTCATCCTCATAGTATTTGAGTGGTCTTTATATAAAGACACGTGTCTTTATATAAAATCACTTGAATACTAATGAAGAGGACTTTATCGGGTATAAAGGTTCATGCACGTGACGTGTATGGTGGCTCCAATTGGACTATAAGCTTATGAATTATTAATGAGTGTTTTAATAGTATTTAATATCATCATCGACATCATTATTATTACATAATATTGCAAGAGTTAATTTCATGAGCCATACACCATGTTTAGTAAATTTTATTTATTTCATCACCATTATCAACTATTATCATCGTCAACATCATCATCATCATCACCATCATCATCATCATTATTATCATCATCATCATCATC